TCGTTCTCGTAAATAACCCACAATTGATTTACTATCGGTATTTTCAACTGATAAGTACATAGTCCTGTATATTAAGACTTAAACAAACTCGCGATATCTTATGATTCATATACCGCTGCCGGTCAAAATCATATATGGATTCCTCGTTCTCGTAAATAACCCGCAATTGATTTACCACTGGTATTTTCAACTGATAACTGTAGTCCTGTAGATTAATACTTAAACGAACTCGCGATATCTTATATTCATATATAGCCTACCGCTGTCAAAATCATGTATGGATTCTTCGTTCTCGTAAATAACTCGCAATAAATAGGCCTAAATATATTATTACCATATATTTTGTTGCGTCTTTCTTAATAAACAAACAAACACGATGCTGTTACTCTTACTATAATTCTATAAAATGACTTAAACAAACTCGCGATATCTTATATTCATCATATATACTGTCCACTATTTGAAACATATATCGATTCTTCGTTCTCATAAATAACCCGCAATATATTATTGTTCCCACAATATATAATATCACGCTCTTTCGTCCTAGCATATACCGTTGCGTCGTATATCACAAGTACGCAATATATTACCATAATTATACCTCAGCATCGTTATTAATTAAACAAACACACCGCAACATGTTAATTTATCATATTATTATATACTATTGCAAATAACTTAAACATACAGTATTACAGGCAATGCATTGCTATGATATACTGTTCCTTTCTTCCTATATACAATATAAAAAATCCTTAACCTTTACAAAAATACATGCCATCTTATACCCTTTCTATTAAACCTTCCTACAAGATCGCCATATCGTTTAATTGACATTGTTATGCGCACATTGACACAAATTCAATTGACACCGTGCGCGCGTTCGTGTGAATATTTCAAATTAAGGAGTATCAAAAATAAACCTTTGTCGTCGTCGTCGTCGTCGTCCACTTTTATATTTTTCTGCCATTTGTCTAACCCTATACTATTTGCAAACACCAAAATCGTATTTTAATATATTTCGCTTTGGGATTTCTTTTTCTAAATCGCTAGAAACTCTTCCAATCGCTGCCTGCTACCCCATGATATATTACCAATATTGCGTCGTGCCACGTACGTCACTACGTCAGCATGTAAATAGGGGAACATACAAAACGTTTTGCCGGCGACGGCTATAAGGACCTTTCCTCCAAACGTGGCATATTTTACTATATTTTGCAGCCCTATTTATATAAACAATAATTTCTTTTCAAAATAACTTACATTACAAGAAATTATAAGCGTCCAATACAAGGAATGCAATTCTACAATTTTAGGGCAAATTAATCTGTTCCCATACAACTTATTCTAGCTTTTTAATATCACCGGCATGTTTTCATTAGTGTCCTTCAGAGCCTACATGATGTCATCACCTTCAACAGTAACAATGAATGGTCTTCAACAATGTCATTAATGTGACAAGTTTACAGAGATAACGTTTTTGACAAGCGAAATTGCATTTCCCATTCCGACTGCATATCCAAGATTCCAAGTTTCATATCAAACTCGTCAAGATGAAATTACACTTTTCTATAAATCGGCTAGCGATCTGCATGAATTCCAGCGTACTACCAGAGACAGCCAAGCTAACTATAAAGTACGCCGGTTAATTCGTTCGAGTTTAATATCTAAATGTTTTATTTCACTTTGGATTTAAAAAAATACAACTAAGACTGACAGTAAACTTTCAGTTTTAACTTATACCTTTTGAATGCAGCTGAATATTCTATATAGTTCATTTCCAGATTAAGTGTTTCAGCCAAGGATCTATGACCTATGTTCCACCATTCTTCACCCATTCATTCAATTGCCAACCGTGCTGGTATGTTTAATACCACAAATATTTCCCATTTTCATGCATGATATCACTTCATTTCTACTGCAACCACTCATTACCAATTACAGTTATCATACATTGTTATCTAATATTTATAATCGTGCAAAATTCATAATCTTATAACCTATATTCCTTTTTATAATTCCTATTCTACATATTTAAGAGTTCTCATGCCAAAGGCAAAGCCCGGCAAAGCTAGTCTTCATGCCTGTCAATTTTCAAACAAAGCGACATCAATGTCACCCATTAATGTCAACTAAATATTTCCGTTGCACCTACGTCATTGCACACAACATAGCCCTCTGTTATAGCGTCGTCCATATTTTCATTCCATGCACCGCTTTCTTCCACTGCACAACAGTTGTCTCAACTTTATCTGCAAATTGTCGTGCCCATATTTTTTTGCAATTATGACAAACCACCTAGACTTGTTGGACAGCGCACTTACATTACAAGAAATTATAAGCGTCGAAAATAAGGATTGCAAATTTACAATTTTAAGACAAAGTAAATCTGTTTCGATTTTAGACTTTTAGGGAAAATTAATCTGTTTGTTCAGAGCCTACACAATGTCATCACCTTCAACACTAACAATGGTCTTCAACAATGTCATTAATGTGACAAGTATACCCGGGTTAATTCGTTCGAGTTTACTATCTAAATGTTTTATTTCGCCATGGATTTTAAAAATACAGCGAGGTAAACTTTAAGTTTACAGTATATCAGTAATTTGAAACTGAAAACAGCTGCGTCAACTATATTGGCGTTTATAACTCACACAGCGGGAGCTCACCCAGGACTCAAACTGAGTCAAGTTTGTTTCTTGTGATATATTACTTATTGTTTATTACTTGACTGTTTAACAATTCATATATTAATACGTTCAAAGTACACTGTCCTGCCTTTGGAAGCATTCTTAATTATTATATTTCAATCATGCCTTACCTGCAGTCTACTAAATATTTTGTGGGCAAATTAATCAATATTAATTAGTAATTTATGGCTGTGCGCTGCCTCGTCCCCAGTCGCTTGCTGTCAAATAATTAATTAGGAAAAGACAAAAAATTAATGGGGGCGCGCGGAATGATGGGAAGGGGAGGAGTGCGGAGCGACTGGCAAATCCTGCATTCAAGATGGCGTCCGAAGGATTGTCGTCCGGTTCATATTTGCATTTCCGACTTTGGAGTGGGGAAGATTAAAATATCTCGACAAATATTTACCCCTTTAAAACGAAAACCATCATTGAAATCCTCATAAAATAACCTATCGAACGGGGGGTCAAATGCCGTCATAACAGGGCACAGACCAAAACTATCGTATATTTACTTGCCGCTTGGCCAAACATTCTTATTTCATATCGAGAAAAACTTGAATATCTTCTAAACTCTTCAGAATTCGCCCAAGTCAATAGCAGTAAAATACTCCTTGTATTCAAGCGATTTTATGTAGAAAGTTTCGTTTGAATACGACGAGCAGAAATATTTATTTTGAATTTTTCAAAATATCAGGTTTCTACTCGCACGCGCGTGCCACCGGCTCAAATTTAGATATTTTTAAATACCGAAATAAAAGATACAAATCTGCAGATACAAGCTTGAAAATAACACTCTAAATAGTGTGTTGGATTGTGATTTGAACAAAACTAATACGAAAAAGATACGTTGAAAGGAGCCGAAGTTACATTCGGCGAAAGGTTTGGCTTAGTGATACATTGTTTACATTGTTCGAGTATATTGTATATTATAGGTATGGTATGGCTAGTTTACATTGTTCAAGTATCGCTAGTTTATATTTTATGGCCATTTACATTGTTCGAGTATATAGTTTCTTTCAAGCGGAATTTTTTCGTGGTATTTTCGTATTTCTACTGCAAATATTCGCGGAGTTCTTTAATATTTAATCTTCCCGTCATATGTTTATACGGAAATCAAATAATACGGACGGCATTGAGAAGCTTCTAAAAGAAGCTGAAAGAAGCTACTAAATCATCACTATCATCAAACTGGAAGTCTTCTAAACTCATTAACGGCCCACTGTCGTCAAGTGATTCCTCCATCGCCTAAAAAAACCCTATTTTCGTAGTTTCGATCACATTTGCACAGTTTCGATCACATTTGCACAGTTTCGACACAGGATTTGGCAGGCTCCTCCCTCGTAATTTTTCGTCTTCCCATTTTCCTTTGCGCGCTCGTCCTTAGTTGCGGGCGTGCGCCTAAAGGCGTGCGTCTTTATCGGGCTTGCAGTGCACGCGCTGATCTATATATTACCGATATTTAAATTTGATCTATATAGAAGAGCCTGCGGAGGAGGCAGGGCTGTGCGCACATTGTAGTTGAGAGTCATGAGCCGCACTGTCTTTAAATTATAATTTTTCCTGGGTGACTAAAGGAAGACTATCCCATATTTGAAAAACACTGATTCTGTATTCATATATATTATGGGCATAGACTTGCGGCTATGATTATATATTTTCACTATTGTATGCTATATATTATTATATTCCTCAAACGTGTTTAATCTGTTGTAGTCTGTTGCTATTGACTAGTACTCAGTAGGACCTGTACGCGTTTATATATTTGATACATTGCGAAGAATTTAATAAACCGAACTTTTTAAACGACGTGAATAAATTGCATGTAATAATTCCCTGAAGCCACTACATGTATATATAAAATGCTAATCAGTATTAAACGACAAATATTTGTAGGTCCTAACCTATAGAGACTATAGCGTTTATATATAATAAGTAGTTATAGCGCATTTACGCATCGTGTATCAATGTTGATGATATCTGTCTCCATCTGCACGAAATCACAATATAGGCTACAGTACAGTATAGTATAATCATATAATACATTTTCGCAACGTTGTTCGAGACGATTCTACCGACGGACAATACGTATTTACCGACGGTGAATTGCCTTACCATCGGTACCGACGGTACCTACGGACAACGTTTTCGAGGACTACCTGATACTCAACCTCGCACCCAGGCTAACAAGACATAACAGCCTGGATGCGGGGTTGCCTTATAATTACGTCATTCACCAACGGACTGTGCCTATTTACCGATGGTGGATTAATTTCTCCATCAGTACCGATGGACAATCTCTATTTATCGATGGTGAGTCGGCTTACCATCGGTACCGACGGTACCGACGGACAGTGTTTTGGAGGACTACCTTATGCCATAGCAATAATGCTAACTACCTCATTCACCAACGGATTTTTCAAATTTACCGATGGGGAATTAATTTCTCCATCGGTACCGATGGACAATCTCTATTTACCGATGGTGAATTCGCTTACCATCGGTACCGACGGTACCGGCGGACAGTGTTTTGGAGTGCTACCTTATGCCATAGCAATATTGCTAACCACCTCATTCACCAACGGTCTATTCAAATTTACCGATGGTGAATTCATTTCTCCATCGGTACCGATGGAGAATCTCTATTTGCCGATGGTGAATTGGCTTACCATCGGTACCGACGGTACCGACGGACAGTGTTTTGGAGGGCTACCTTATGCCATAGCAATATTGCTAACTACCTCATTCACCAACGGACTTTTCAAATTTATCGATGGTGAATTCATTTCTCCGTCGGTACCGATGGAGAATCTCTAATTACCGATGGTGAATTGGCTTACCATCTGTACCGACGGTACCGACGGACAGCGTTTTGGAGGGCCACCTTAGCCTCTCTCACTAATGCTAACTACCTCATTCACCAACGGACTTTACAAATTTACCGATGGTGAATTCATTTCTCCATCGGTACCGATGGAGAATCTCTAATTACCGATGGTGAATTGGCTTACCACCGGTACCGACGGTACCGACGGACAGTGTTTTGGAGGGCTGCCTTAGCCTCTCTCACTAATGCTAACTACCTCATTCACCAACGGACTTTACAAATTTACCGATGGTGAATTCATTTCTCCATCGGTACCGATGGAGAATCTCTATTTACCGATGGTGAATTGGCTTACCATCGGTACCCACGGTACCGACGGACAGTGCTTTGGAGGGCTAACTTATGCCATAGCAATATTGCTAACTACCTCATTCACGAACGGACTTTTCAAATTTACCGATGGTGAATTCATTTCTCGACCGGTACCGATGGAGAATCTCTAATTACCGATGGTGAATTGGCTTACCATCGGTACCCACGGTACCGACGGACAGTGTTTTGGAGGGCTAACTTATGCCACAGCAATAGTGCTAACTGCCTCATTCACCAACGGACATTACAAATTTACCTATGGCGAATTCATTTCTCCATCGGTACCGATGGAGAATCTCTATTTACCGATGGTGAATTGGTTTACCATCGGTACCGGTGAACATTCATTATTTACCGATGGTATATTCATTTTTCCATCGTACGAATGGACACCGATGGTAGAAATATTTTCACCAAACTAACCGTCGGTATGCTTGCTACAGTATTGGACAACCCTCGCCCGGTTGGCATCAAAGGCCGAGGCGAGGGAAAATATCAACAACATCGCAAATTTTGAAAGTGCCAAAAATCTACGTTTGTCTCAATTGCTCGAAGAAAAAAACGAGATTGTTGAGGAGCCCATGATATTTATACAGTTATACTATCAACTAAGCTAACGACAAAAGGATTAATGAGGCTAGCAATTGCAATCAAGCACGTTCCTGCACGATATAGTCAGGCAGGTCATGTTAAATTTAAGACTATATGCGATCGGCACGGCACCATAATCGCAGATTTTCTTCATAATGCCATTATGAAGAAAATCTGCGAGTTTACGTAACATTAGTAGAAGCAAGATGCCCAACGTTATGTTCAAAATCCGAAAAAGATTTCGAAAACGTTCTTTGGAAACATGCCCCTGGCTCCATTTATCTGATGTTCTCAGCTCTAGTTTCTGAAACATTTCTGGGAGATCTGGTAGAAAGCGATTAAGGCATTTCAAAAATGAAATCAATCGATTTTTGTCCCCACCATGCATAATGCGATTCCTACACGGCAATCTTGGCAATCAGTGTGTTTTTGTATATAGTATTTAGTATTAAAATTAGTCAAGTAGATGCATGTAAATAGTACCTATACATACACTGAAGATTTTACCCTGTTTAAATAAATGTTCAATGGACGCGGACTAGGACCACAATTTTGCGCCCATATTTGACCAAAATGGGACAAAATGGCAGCGAGATTTAAAATCCCAACAAGTCTGAAAAGAAAGGCAAAAAAGGAACCAGAGTTGCCAAAGTTTGAGTGGAATCTTTCGAAAAAGAAAAGAAGTTGGGTTCTGTACGTTTGGGTCCGTATACCTAGGAAAATACAAAGGAAAACCAGAAAATGTGGTTACCAAAAGAATAATGTCGAGTCCATTGACTCGACATCCCGTTTCGTGAAAGAAGCCGCACTGTTGAACAGCGAAAAAGGCCACAGGAACATAATCCGGTTGCTTGAATTTTGTAAAGAACCACTCAGTCATGATGCATGGAACTATTCTTGCTTCGATCTTTGCCCGTTTGGAGTTGCAAAAAGCCTTTGCACTCTAGAAGATTTTGTCCATTTCGTAGACGACGAGTTTGACTTTGACTTTGCTTCCTTCGCAGACTTGCTGCCAACATGTTCCAAAGATGTTGTCGAAGGTTTGAAATATTTGCACAGCAAGAATATCGTTATAATTTAATAAATATTATGAATTAAGATAATCTCTTTGCACTAATTAATTTTCATTCAGTGCATGCTTTTTTCAAGTATATGATATATGACATACTTTATGCCAAAGAATGCAAGCCAAAAAATGCAAGGTGAGAAAAGTTCGGAGAAGCCAAAACGGTGATCTCATTAACATAAAAAATGACTTGGTTTGTAAGTCGAGAGACCGACTTAAGCCAAAGTCATGCATGCAGCCAGTTTACAAACAACAGGGCATTCACCATAATCTTCGGCAAACTCATCTTCATTAAAGGGATGTGCTGCTGTAGTGTCGATTTAAAACTAATATATTTCCTGGTTTCAGATCCTGGTGCCAGCGATATTCTTGCTGTGCAAATATTTCAAACCGTCGACAACATCTTTGGCACATGTTGGCAGCAAGTCTGCGAAGGAGGCAAAGTCAAACTCGTCGTCTACAAAATGGACAAAATCTTCTAGTGTGCAAAGGCTTTTTGCAACTCCAAACGGGCAAAAATCGAAGCAAGAATAGCTCCATGCATCATTACTGAGCGGTTCTTTACAAAATTCATGGGAACCGGACTATGTTCCTGTGGCCATTTGCACTGTTCAACAGTGCGGTTTCTTTCACGAAACGGGATTTCGAGTCAATCGATTAGACATTATCTTTTTAGTAACCACTTTTTCTGGTTTTCCTTTGTATTTTCCTAGGTATACGGACCCCAACGTACCGCAACTCAAACTCTTTTCTTTTTCGAAAGGTTTCCAATCAAACTTTGGCAACCCCGGATCCTTTTTTGCCTTTCCTTTCACACTTGTTGGGATTTTAAAGCTCGCTGCCATTTTGTCCCATTTTGGTCAAATTTTGGCGTGAATTTGGGGTCCTAGTCCGGCATTCCGCGTTTTACTAATAGAGTCCAGTCCGCGTTTTACTAATAGAGTCCAGTCCGCGTTTTACTAATAGAGTCCAGTCCGCGTTTTACTAATAGAGTCCAGTCCGCGTTTTACCAATAGAGTCCAGTCCGCGTTTTACTAATAGAGTCCAGTCCGCGTTTTACTAATAGAGTCCAGTCCGCGTTTTACTAATAGAGTCCAGTCCGCGTTTTACCAGTCCAGTCCGCGTTTTACCAGTCCAGTCCGCGTTTTACCATATGCCGCTTTAATTATATTTTTCAAAACTGAGTTTACATGGTTCTTCCACTTAAACATGTTACTGCATGACTACTTTAATAATAACAATGAAACTAAACGCATTCTTCTGTAAACACGATAGTAAATTTATAGCTGATGTGGTAATATAGTAGTACCAAATACCATAAACACGATCTATCAGTATAAGAATCACCTAACCAATTCAATTATTTTCAACCATTGTCAATGAATAACTTGTGAATACTGCAAAAGTGCTCTTTATAATGAAAATAAACGGTTTGATTATAAAAAACGTATAGTTTATGCATGTGTCAGTTAAAAAAAAAAAGTTTTGACAATATCATGCTTATTACCTTATTACCCTATTACCTTATTGCTTGCTTATGGGTGCTGATTCCCCTACATGCTTATTACCTTGTTACCTTATTGCTTGCTTATTGCCGATTGGTTGATTGATTCAATCAAAGAAAAAATAGATGAAAGACAGTTTGGTTCACTTAAAAACACCTCAACAACCCACAACTTAATAAGTCTCGTACATCATCTACTAAGAGAGACAGACGCGGCAAAGAGTGCCATAAGAGTATTCCTTCTTGACTTCTCGAAGGCATTCGACCGTATTGACCATTCTATTCTTTTGCAGAAACTTTCTGATATGAACGTACCATCAACTATAATAGACTGGATTCAAAGCTTTTTCACAAGACGTAAACAACGAGTAAAACTGAACAACTGTTTGTCGGATTGGCGCAATGTTAATGGAAGAGTAGCTTAAGGGACAGTTTTGGGTCCTGTTCTCTTTCTTATCATGGGGAACGACCTACTTACTGAATGGCCTGATAGATGGAAATATGTAGTATATGTCGACGACTGTATGGTCACCGAAAGTATCCCACCTCACTGTAACAGTAACCTCCAAGACCTAGTGGACTATATTTATAACTGGACTATCGCAAACAATATGAAGCTCAACGTAGATAAATGTAAAGAAATGGTAATTGACTTTTCCAAAGAAAAACAGAACTTTACGCCTCTACTGATCAACGACGTACCAGTGACATGAAACGCGTAGAATCAACTCACATCCTCGGAACTACCTTTCAAGATAATATGAATTGGAACGACAACATACACCAAATTGTTAGGAAAGCTGGAAAAAGACTGTACATGCTTCGGATTTTGAAAAGATTGAACGGCAATTTGAATATATTGCTCACGGTTTTCACTTCCATCATAAGACCTGTTTTAGAATATGCCTGCCAAGTTTGGCATTTTAATATTCAACAATACTTAAGTGATCAGATTGAGAAAATCCAAAAACGCGCACTAAGAATCACATTGCCTTCATTAAGCTATAGGCAGGCACGTGAACTGACCGACCTCCCATTACTCAAAACAAGACGTGATGAACTATGTGACCAATTCTTCGCGAAGAATGAAAGTAACAGTAAAGTTTACGAACCTCTGATCTGTAAAACTTCGTTAGATTATGACACGAGGTCAAAATGTAAATATAAAAACTTTTTATGTAAAACGAACAGATTTAAAAACTCGTTTTTACTACAAACTATCTCTAAAGAAAATAGTAAATAGATCTATTGTATTTTAAAATTTTTACTATGAACATCAAGTAGTTAATTCTTATTGTAAATATAATGTAGTTTTATATTGTAAAGACCGATGCAATTTAACCTACGGTTACAATGTCGGTTTATCTTAATAAAATATCAGAAAAATCAAATATCAAGTTCTAAATTGCATGTCAAGTAGGATACTGCGGTCAACGCAATCCAACGCTTTTTTAAATCCAAAACAATTACACCATTCATACAGGTATCCTCTATCCATATTTAAAATATACTATTTGCTCTAGGCATTTACAAGTCAGGTTTGGGCCGAGTGGCTGTTCCTGAATGTATAAAGTTGACACGAAATGAGTTTTTCAAAAATTTTAGCCACTATGGACAGCACGAAAACAGGTCTATATTTTGTGTGTTCAGTATCGGATTGAAATTTATGTAAGGCCAATGAGTGACAAATTACACTATAGCAGAATTCTTTAACAGCTTAGCCGAGATTCTATCGTGCTTGGTTTAGTCTTGGACCTGTATATGAGTTTGTATGCATTTCATTTAGGACAGATAATCTCAACTGTTTTAGGGCAAGTTGACCATGACGGTCAACATGGTAACGCTGCCCGAACCCCAATCCGGGACGAAACGTCCGAAACTGACCACACCCAAAAACGACGCTTTCGCCATACTGCTATCTACCAAACCATAAAAGCTTTGGCTATTCTGAGGTGCTTATATGGTTCAGAGATGGTACTTTTGGGGTGGTCATTGGTAAGTGTGAAATGCCTAGCACTAATATTTCACAAGAAAATGACCATGCAATAATCATAGTTAAACGTCAATTTGTGGCTTGCAACTTCAGATAAACAGCAGTGGACTTACATTACCTTTTTCCCTAAATCTTTTTGATAGAAACATAATTGGTACTTATTTAAATATATTATCACTAGTTTGGTGTAAAATAGTTAATATTTTCTGACCGAAATAATAATTTGAAATGTGCCTACCTCCTGCAAATGGACGTATTTGGCCAAGTCTCCACTTTACTCCGCTGTTTATCGGCGATCTCGTCAACATCCTAGAAAAAATGTACATCATCTCAGACATGATGGTATCAAGAACATTTTAAACAAGTTTCAACTTGGTTTCAAGTAGATCATACCTGTTTAACCATCGACAAGGTAAATCTACAACTTTGTCCAAATTCGGCGCCATTTTGTCATCCCATGTCGGTTGTCAACAATTCAGCCTTGTTACTCTTCCATCCAAGCCATTTCCATTCCACTAATAATAAATGTAACCCTTTATAACGGTAGGAAACTAAAAAATCTAAACAAAATATAAGAAATGCGCCATTTTATCACTCTGTAAAGTGTTGTTTACGAGTCCTTCGAAACATTTCGTACAAATCTCGCGTGGTTTAGCGACAGGGACTTGGCAGGGGGGTAGAGACTTGAAAAAGGAAAAGGAAAGCCCACACAGTATCCAACAATCAACATTTAATTTGTATGACTTTTTCATATTAATAAATAATAATATGTATATATTTGTCGCTACAAGAAATAAAACAAACGTTTGTATGATTGTATTTAGCTTTTGGTCTATTTCACGCAGCGTTCTTCTATCTTCGTGAAATAATTCACCCCTCTCCTGTCACGTCCCTGTTACTTTGTCACGCGATATTTGTACGGAATGTTTTGAAAGACTCGTGAGCAAACTTTTACAGGGTGATAAAATGGCGCATTTCTCATATTTTGTTCAGATTTTTTATTTTCCTACCGTTATAAAGGGTTAAATTCATTATTAGTGGAATGGAAATGGCTTGGATGGAAGAGTAACAAGGCCGAATTGTTGACAACCGACATGGGATGACAAAATGGCGCCGAATTTGGACAAAGTTGTGGATTTACCTTGTCGATGGTTAAACAGGTATGATTTACTTGAAACCAAGTTGAAACTTGTTTAAAATGTTCTTGATACCATCATGTCTGAGATGATTTACATTTTTTCTAGGATGTCGACGAGATCGCCGATAAACAGCCGAGTAAAGTGGAGAACTTGGCCAAATACGTCCATTTGTAGGAGGTAGACACATTTCAAATTATTATTTCGGTCAGAAAATATTAACTATTTTACACCAAACCAGTGATAATATATTTAATAAGTACCAATTATGTTTCTATCAAAAGATTTAGGGAAAAAGGTAATGTAAGTCCACTGCTGTTTATCTGAAGTTGCAAGCCACAAATTGACGTTTAACTATGATTATTGCATGGTCATTTTCTTG